CTGGTCCAAGGGACTTGAGAAGCCAGTAAGGGCAGATCACTATGAGTCCATAAGAGAAGCTCACAGATCATGTCCTTCCCTGATTTGTTGTTTTAAAATGTGGGAGAAAAACATTAAATTATGGCTTGGATAATGTTTGACTAAAGGCCATCCCTAGAGAAGGCATTTGTATCTGAATGTTCTGGAAAAAACTCCCTTAAGATGTTGAAACAATCAAAGAAGAAACTGTCCTTTGCTTAAACCACTGCAGGTTTCCCAATAGTCTCTGCCTGCTAGGACAAGCTATGGGTAGTTTTGTCTTTTTTTTAGTGACCCTTTTTATGATAGGGTGAACATGTGCAATAACACAGTGATTTACTATAAAATGGATCCAATTTGATAATTCAGTGGGACAAAAAACAGAAGCTGGGAGGGAGGAACTGATGCATGTGGATCAGAGACTTAAGTGCATGCTCATCCCCCTTCTCTCTCCTCTCTCTCACAGTGCAGGTCTTGGTAGATGGAGCCCCTGTTCGGATCCAGCTCTGGGATACAGCTGGACAGGTGAGATCATTAAGCTAAACTGAGGGAAAACCAATGCCTGGAGATCTGACAACTGTGTAAAACAGGACTTCTTATTAGCAGGTCTCGTGGGAAGGATTATGTGCAGATTTGAAAGAAGGACATGTACGAGTACGGACATCATCATCAAACCAAATTGGAGAGTTTCTTGTCCCTGAGCCTTGGTCCTCAAATGATGTAGAAGTGACATGAAGGGACCACAGTCCCATCAGAATAGATCTGTTTTCCTAGAGTTTAGGCAAAATCTTAAAAGTGGCTGCGCACAGCCTGTCAATCCCCCACAATAGATACTGACCTCAGCCTGGCACAGGGGATGTACTTTTATAGGTGTCACCATGCCACTGGAGCATGCATATGGTAAAGGGCCTTCCAGGGGAGGGGTGCTCTTTGGAGAGCTGCTTTACACAAGATAACATCTTCTCAGTGATGAGTGAAGAAATCTGGCCCCAAGTGAATGCTTATCATGTCTTGCTATAACTCCTTCATACTAGGAATATGCTCTCAGCATCTCAGAAATGAGATACTACAGTTTCTTACAGTGAGTGTTCCTTCATCTTCTCTCCCTCTTCCCCTGTAGGAAGACTTCGATTGCCTCCGCTCACTCTGTTATTCTGACACGGATGTCTTCCTTGTCTGCTTCAGCGTGGTGAACCCCAGCTCCTTCCAAAACATTACTGAGAAATGGATCCCTGAGATACGGACTCATAACCCAGGGGCCCCAGTTCTGCTAGTGGGGACACAAGCTGACTTGCGGGATGACGTCAATGTCCTGATCAGCCTGGACCGCTACCATGGAAAGCCTGTGCCCAAGCCTCAGGCTGAAGGCCTGGCTGAGAAAATCCGGGCTGAGGCCTATGTGGAGTGCTCAGCTCTGACCCAAAAGAACCTGAAAGAAGTCTTTGACACAGCCATTGTGAGCGCTGTTGAGCACAAAGCACAGCAGGAAAAGAAAATGACGGCCAAAGGGATCAAAACCCTCTCCAAGTGCCGCTGGAAGAAATTCTTCTGCTTTGTCTGAAGCTAATTTGAGAGAGGGGGGGGGAAAAAGACACCATGCCAGCACTAGCTCTATACCTTGGAGTGACTGGTCCTATGGCTCCAGCAAGGAGGGGGCTATGAGCTCCTGAGGCTGGGAGACCTGGCTCTTGCTGGGTGTCGGCATGCCATGCCTAGGAAACATGAAATGGACTTCATTGCACCAAGCTATTGAATGGTCCATGCAGCGTTAAGCACCTGGAAGATATGCTTGTGGTGCTCCAGATCAATGGGAGCTTTTAATACACTAAGATTCAGGGCTACCAAGTGAGCAGACTTTATGATGTCTGGTGTAACCAGTTTCTTGTCTGAAACTACCTAAAAGTCCTGTCCCAGCATTGTCTAACTCTGGTTTAATACCTAGGCTTTCTCTACTTCAGCTGTTCTAAAGTCTTGGTTGAGAATAGGGTGAGGGCTTCTTGGAAGACCACAGGGTGGGCTGATGAGTCTAAAAAGTAGATCTCGGGTTTCCCCTCTAGTTCTGATTCCTAAAGAAGATGGTGTTGTCTAGACACAATAAAGCAGTGCTCTTTTTATAGACCCTTTACCAGGGATTTCAAGTACCTTTCAAGAGGGATTACACCTGAGGTGTATCCCAGGAAAAGCCTAAGGGGAAGCACACTACTAGCCATATTAATCCATAAAGGGGCTCCCTGGCACAGTACATTGTAGAGCTACAGCCACATGTTTAAAGTTAACACTACTTAGAGCCCCTCCCCTGTTTGAGATGTCCTTTTGCTTGATGTACAGAGATGCACAAAGACAGTGGTATGATTTGAAGAGCTTGAAATGCAGCAGGGAAGTGGAACATGGGCAGGAAGAAGGGAGAAGCAGGTAGTGGGAGAAGCATGTAGTGGAAGGAAAAGAGAAATGTGATGCAAAGGAGAGAGGAAAGGGAAAGAAGGAAGCAAAAGAGGAAATGGGAAGAGGATGAGGAGGAACTAGGAAGGAAGTTCTTATCCTGTGGCTGTAGTTGTGAGATGTAAATAAGGGATTCTTTTGAGCAATAACACACAATTGCTAATAACCTCACCTTCTTATCTCTTCCTGCCCCCCCCCCCCGGGCAAGATATTATTGGTGCCTTGGGCTCAATCTCCAGTAGGCATACTGGAGGTAGGGGCAGGGGAGAGGGCACAGTTTCTTTTCAAATCAAATCCTTAATTTGGGTGCTGTACAAAAGAGCAAGACAGCATGCAGTTCACTTTACCTTGTTCAAGCCCTGGCCCTTGAGGCTGCAGAATGGGAGCTGAGGTGTATAGCTCCTCTTCTCTCCTGCTGCTTTCTTACAAGTCACACTGAAGCCAAGAACTGAAGAAGGTAACCCATTAGGTTCTGACCATATGGAGAGATCCATGGTGTCTGCTCTCTGACCTGCCCTGGAAAGGAGCCTGTTCTGTCTCTGCCCCTGCTCCCCTTACAGCAGAGCTCGGGCTCCTAATGAGTTATTCACAATTCTCATTATTGAGCTTTTCTACACTGTCTAAAAAGTCTTTCATAAAGACATTTCACTCCAGTTCATGCGACGGGGAGTATGGCAGACCTACCTAGCAATGGATCCGAGCATGAGACGGCAAGCCATCTTTCTTTGGGCACTCATCTCTGTGTCCTGTCTCTGGAAATACTGTGTTTAATTACTTTAGCTAGTCAACAGAGGCCAGAATGGGGCCCTGATCTAAATGCTACGCATACAGGTCTTTGACAGTTTCCCTAATCACAGAGGTACAGTATATGAAAGAGCCAAGCTCTGAACGTGCAATGCTGTCGTTCAGCCCAGGATGGAGTGCTACCTGTTGAGGCCTATAGTCTGCTTGGGTTGCATCCTTCTGTTAAAGATGAGGGTGGCTGCAGTTGTTCCATGTTGTACAAACTTGCCACTGCGCCCATCCCTAGACCTGCAAAGCTTGGGCATCTCTGCCCTTATAAATGAACATGCCCCCACTGGTGCTAAAGCTTAAATTAATTCAATCGGATCAAGTTAAGCTGTGCCAGGCTCCAGACAATGCAGATCAGCAGCTGGAACTGAAGACGTACCCTGGCATGTATTGCCATTATGCATCCTTGGGCAGGACACTGTAAATTGAACATCGCTCTTAGTCACTGCTGTACTGCTGTGGGTACTTCTGTACTGTGTAGGGCAACACTGCTGTCCCTCTAGTTCAGTTTGTATATTGGGTCTTTATGCATTTCCATACTCTGAGCACAAGCACCAAGATGTGGGCTGGCAACAACCTCGCCTTTACCATTGGACATGATCCTCAGGATGACATCTGCAGGATCACCTGGGGAGCAATAGATTTCTCTCATTCTTCAATGTGGAAAAGGTGTGGGGAGGGGAGCAGGCATTGTCCTGTAGTTCCTCTACATAGTCCAGGAGTTGCTTTGTCTCAGGAAAGAAGCTGTACTGATAAAGAGCTGCTTTCTTCCACCAGTGACTGTATCTAATGTTTGTTCAAATAAAATGGTTCTGTTTAAGTATGGCTGAAGTCTGCTCCTAATTTCACTAGTGGTAAAGTGACATGGGGCCTGATGAAGGAAATGGAATTGTTCTATGTACTAATGTAGCAGAGCTTGTCTTCTCCCTCTAACCCCCATCCCCAGCCACTTTTTCCTGGCCCACTTTTTCATTAGCACTGATGATTTTTATCCTCTCTGCTCTCCAGTTCAATTCACTGATGGCTTGCAGCAATGAGAAACTGGATGTCTCTCAACTATCCAGGGGAGAGCTGGGAAGCCAGGCTGCTGGAGAGGAATTTAGCAGAAAGTTGAAGAATTGGTGGAAAAGAAATACACTGAAGGACGGGTGGGTGCTATTGCAAATCCATGACAGGGGAAGTGGAGGTTATTGCTGAAACACTGGTACGGGAAGGGTTCCTGGGAGCTGGACTGATTTGATATGCTGCTTCTGTGAGGTGCCCCAAGTTCAGCCAGCCCTTGAATGTGGTGTTGGTGGTGTTTTGTTTCTATTAAAAATGAAGCAAAACAAAACACACTTCTGTGCAAAGATCAATGCTGGAGCCTATAGGCTGCACAGGGTCTAGGCCTAGCCTTGCTGCTCGCCACAGGTCTGCCCCTGATTATTAACTATTAAAGATGGGGGAATGACCTGCCATTGGAAGTAACAGCAAGGTGTGAATGAGCTCAGAGTGATTCAGTCCAAAGGCCCACATCCTGTCATGTGAACAGCAAAGTGCCTGAAAGCTGGAGACACCATCAATGAATAAGTCTGAACTAACAAGAGGAAGCTGTTTTTACAGCTTGCAGTCTCATGTCAATGTGTTGTTGGAATGGCCAAACTCATACAGACGGAAGGCAGGGGAGATCTGCGCCTTTGAGATATAATATACATCTCTGATTTAGTTAAACTTTTCATAAGTAAAGGGCTTACTTCATCAGATGCTGTCTGTAGGGTGCAAGTCTCCCCCACCTTCTGCCTGACTTCAGACTAATACTGATACCTCCCCCAAAGTCATATTGGGCAATGGGCATCTTTAAGCCTTGTCCACCCTTGCCCTGGCCACCTCACATAGTAGCAGACCCAAGGTGCAGCCTGGTAATCATTTGAGCTATGGCCCAGTTCAGACATGACTTGGCATTGCTAGGCAGATTCAGCCATTTTCCAGCTGTGTCTTGAGATCATACTAAGGCCTTGAACAATGGGATGGAGCAGATCCAGAAGTTCAACAATGAGAATGAGGCTTGGGTTTGAATCAATATCATCTGCTCCAGGCAGGCTTCACTACAGAGGATCTGGCCTGTCCCAGAAATATACTAGTTTAATAAAATTGCTTTGCTGCATGCATGCTTCCATGCATTTTTCATGGATTTTAAGGCCAGAAGGAAGCCTGCTAGTCATTTAATCTGATCTCCTATATCAGTGGGGGACAACCTTTTTAGCAGCCACACTATAAATTAGCGTTCCACACTTCCCAAGTGCCTCTCCAACCCCTTTCCCTTAACTGATCTGCTGCACAGCTTCCTGCTCCCTGCCTCATCTGATGCTCTACTTTCTGTTTTCTACCCTGTCTGCCACTGTGTTGCCTTTCCCCTTCCTAATCTGCTGACAAACACAGGCTGCCTGTGCCATTTGCAGCACCCACACTGAAGGTTGGCCCTGTCCTATATAATATAAGCAGTAAACTTCAAAGAAAAAATATGTACAAAATATATGGTGCATCTCTTATTTGCCCACAGATCCATGCCCTGACTCCTGATCAGCACTGTCCTGTCTGTCTGTCATACATGCACTCAAGTAAGTACTAGAGACTTTTAAGGAAATACTTGTAACTATGAGCTACATGGATGTGTGAGGCCATTTTTTCTCCCTGGTTCCATCAGCCTAGTCCTACTCTCATTTGATGTACTCAGGGCTCTGTTCCTACTGCAAAGTTTCTGCCCTTCTTGCACGCACAGCCCACCTGGTCTGTTTACACCAAGGACATAGTTCGGGATAGACCTGGTTTGCCCACTCTTCAGCTCTGCCAGGATTAAAAATGTTGAGAGCAGGTGACAAACTGCTGATGCTGCTTTAAGCACCGTGGTCATGTAACCCTGCTTAGGGTAGTTGTTCTAGTCACTGCTGGTAGCCACACACTTATCCACACTTATCTGCACAAGAACCCCCAACATTGTTAGCTCTGATAGAGCTGAGCTCTCATGTCAGCAAGCATGGGAAAACAGCCCTGCTGTAGAAAGGGCCCTTTTGTTTCTCTATGGAGCAACACACCCTAAATAAGCTTAGCTGTGCCTAATTTGCTCCCAGCTGGCAGGGCATCCTTGTGCTTCCTCTAAACACTGGCTGGGAATTAATCACCAAAGTGCCAGCCATTATCTGACTCAATGCAGCTTCCTTTTAGCTGCAGGTGGGACAAGGCTTTAGGGTCCCTGTAACATATGTTTAGGGCCTGTTGACACTGCAAAAACCAAGCTGTGTTTTTACCATATCAGGGGACTGCTTGGTTGCCATGGATGCAGCAGCAGCGCTGAATTTGCAGTGAAGCTGAAACATTTGGTGTCAGAATGACACTAATTAAAACTCCTCACAACCTTGTCTAAATGCAGCTCTCACCAAGAGCAATGCTCACCCTGGCTACAACATGGCTTGTTTCCCATTTTACAAGAATTATATAACTGTTAAAATGCTATGCTATAGACTGTGAGGATAAAACAGGCGTATAAGAACTACTGTACTAGAGTGCAGCTAGCAAGAACCTTGTTTTAGACCCAACTTGCAGTGCAGCTCTGATCCTTTAACAGAAATCAGAGAGCTGTCCCATCCTGCATCTGGTCCTCCTCAAACCTGCTTGCCCATGTACACTACAGAGTGCAGCCCAGGGCTTTCTGTATTAGCCGAGTATTCCCGTCACCTTAATACTGTATTGCACTACCAAAGATCTATTGCACAAAAAGAGGTATGTTTCAACCTATCCCTTAGACAGGTTCCTTTTACTATCACATCATGTGATTGTCAGTTCCCAGGGTGACACTTTGCCCTTTCCAGCCTGGCCTAACTGGTTCTGGAAGGCAAGGATGAGATGTGGGCCCCATCTTTCTTCTCCCTTCCCCCTTGCAACCTGGCCCCCAGGGCTGTTGTACTCTGCAATACACGTGTTTCTGCTTATACGGTGGAGCATCACTTGTTGGAAATTTGGCTCAGAAACAAGTTTCACCGCAAGACACTGAGCCAGGTTGTTTCTTTCCCATGAGATAATCTTGGGTGGGGCAGACAATCTCTTAAAATTAAAACACAATGAAAATAAATGGTTTCCCAGGGGTTAGCATAAATCCTTCTTCTTTTGTTTTCTCACGAGCCAAGCCAAGGGTTTATCACCAGCTCCATGTTACACAGGGTAACTCTACCGTCTCCAGAACAGCTCAGCCTCCGTGCTAGGTTTCCAGTTCTCAGCAGAGCTGGGTGGAGTCGTGCCTGCTGCTCCTCCAGCTGTGTATCAGCAACATAAGCCACCCTGTAGGAAACTCAGTGGTTGCCAAAGGAATTGGACTCCATGCCACAAGTGGGAGGGGTGGGAAAATGCATCCTTTTTATACAGGAGCATCTCTAGGCCTGCAAAGGATTAAGGATGTGCAGGGCAGAGGGCTTCACAACCTGCTCAGTTTTGTTGAATACTGGAATATGGGAGAGAAGGGTCAACTGTCTTTCCTGAACAAGT